GAGGAGCATATACCATTGAAAACTGAGGGCACAAGTTCATGTTACTATTATTTTTTTCCACCGGGGTGGGGGGGGTGTAAAGTACACTGATCTCCCAGTAATAACACAAATATAATCCTTATCTTTTTTATTTCTGTTTTCATTATGACTGTGGGTGGTTGGCGGGTGCTCTGGTGTGGTTTGCTCCTTTTGTCCTATCAAACATCTATCGTCCTGATCTCTCCTCCTTCTTTTTTGTGTTTGTTACTCTCTTGTAACACCTCTAATATTCGGCACTTGTATGACCTCATTGTGTTGCAAGTGCCGTAAAACTCTTACTAAAACTTTCATTATGACTGATCTTTATGATTTTTCTTACTTTTATGTATCCTCAGCATTGTTATGGTGATCATCATTTTAAGCACTACAATTCCACTACGTAAGTACTTGCCTGTCTATGTTGTTTCAAATATTGTAAGCCATTACATTATTTAGAGTGGGTGGTTGGCAGGGGGGCTCTGGTGTGGTTTGTTTCTTTCTTTCCTATCCAACGTCTATCGTCCTTACTTCTCCCTCCTTCTTTTTTGCGTTTGTTACTCTGCTCTTGTAACGCCTCTAATCTTCTGCTTTTATGTGACCTGATTTTGTTGCTAGTGCTGTAAAACACTTACTAAAACTAAACAATTTTTAGAAGGATTGTGCTGGACCACAGTGCAGACGTCCGTGTGGGTGGTAGGCGGGTGCTCTGGTGTGGTTTGCTGCTGCTTTCTTCTAATCAAATACCTATCGTCCTTATATCTCCCGATTTTTTTGGGGGGTATGTTACTATCAAGTAAAACGTCTAATCTTCTGCACTTATATGACCTTATTGTGTTGCGAGTGCCGTAAAACACTTACTAAAACCAAAACTAGACCCATGTTGTACCATTAGAGGGATTACTTTTTGGGCAGCCTTTAGTTCCAAAGGATAGTGTGTCAACAAGACAGCTGATGTAAATTTGCTTTATAGCCTCAGGTCTTTTATACTCGTGCAGACACACTGATGCAGACTCACATGCATGTGCACTGTCTCTCAACAACAAAAATTTAGGTGTACTCTAGTTAATCTTCGGCTCCTACAAGACTTTTGTTGTTGCAAGTGCTGTAAGACTCTTTATTAAAACTAAAAGAATGAACACCCTTCTACCCCCCTCATTGTGGGTGGTTGGCGGGTGCTCTGATGTGGTTTGCTTCTTCTTTCCTATCAAACATCTATCGTCCTTATCTCCCCTTCTTCTTTTTTTTTGTTTTGTTTTTGTTACTCTCTTGTAACGCCTCTAATCTTCGGCACTTATATGACCTTATTGTGTTGCAAGTGCCGTGCGTAAAACACTTACTAAAACTGAACTCCCCCCCTCATTGTATATTTCAGTGAAGGAGTCTGCCTTCATCCTGCTGCAGACAGTCCCGTCTCATGTGAATGTTGAGAGCATCATTACAGAGCTGGAACAGGTCAGTGGAAAGAAGAACTGCTTGAAAAGAAAAATTAATTTATGCGTTAAGACGCTGTGGAATCAGGCGCTCGTCTATATTTGGGCATATGGAGTTATTGATATGTGAGGCAGCGTGGTGGAATCAGGCTCTCGTCAATTTTGGGGCATGTAGAGTTATTGGTCTCATCTTAAAGCTTGTTCACTTGTCTTTATTTGGAGGAAACAAATATTCATTTATCTTGAATAAAAGTTGAGATATTTGCGAATGAAAGGGGTGGGGGGTCACCTGTTTTCAGAGGTCAAATTATTGAGAAAATGGTCGCCAAAGATTAGTTATTTCCTTAGCTTATGAGTCCGTGGTAACTGAAAATTTTTATTTTTTGTGCCTTAAATCAACGTTTTTCAGAAAAATCCACACAGAAATGAGTTCTTGAAAAGGCATGAAAGGTGTTGAGCCAAAAATCACAAATTTTATAAAAATTCACAAACCTGCGGAAAAATGCAAGTTTCTTCACTTTGATTATTTTGACGAGAGCCTGATTCCACCACGCTGCCTCACATATCGTCTTATAGCCTGTTTATTTGCCTTGCCTTTGGTGAAAAAAATATCCATCTATCTGGAACAGAAGTGACTGTTTATTTGTGAAATATTTGTGACTGGAGAAGATGGGGGGGGGTCGGGTCGCCTGATTTCAGAGGTAAAATCAGTGGGAAAATGGCCGCCAAAGTTATGTGGCTTCCGTAGTTTGAGAGTCCTTGGTGACTGAAAATGTACTTTTTGTGTGCCTTTAAACACTTTTTCTCTAACATCCATACAGAAATGTGTTTTTAAGCCAGAACAATGCCAATTTGATTTCATTACTTTGACGAGTGCCTGATTTCACCACGATGCATCGTCGCATATAAATTTTACATAGATGTGCCAATTTTCCAAATTAGTCTTGGAACCATGATTTCTGAAATTGTCAGGATTTTGCGAGACAGACTTCTTGATACAAGATGTGGTAAATGATATGATCTGTAAATTTTGTGTCACTGTACTTTCGTTTCCACAGTGTTGGAACAGGTTGTTGTTTTTTTGGGGGGTTTTTTTTTGGTAGCATCTCTTTGGCGCCTCTGTTTATATGTAAAGATCAGTACAGACTTTCTTCTCTGGCTCCCCCTGTACTTCACATTTACTTCATCCCTCTTCGAGTTGTGTTTTCAGAGAAGTTAGCATTTCACCTCGTTTGGTTCAGTGATCTGTGGAATACCACTCGTATACAGTTACAACTTTATGGGAAGTTGTGAATTGAATTTGTAAAACATTTTTTAATGTTATTTAGAAAGTTGTTTCAAATTAGTTTGTTTACATCGAATTTTTTGTATTTTAGCGTTTTAATAGAGGCGATGACCAGAATCGGGCTGTGCAGTGAACTATTGCAAACAGAACCACTTTTTTTTCGCACGCTCATTTGACCTTTTGCAGTTGCGAGCGCTGTAAAACTCTTACTAAAACAAACTTTTTCTTTCTTTTTTTTTTTTTTGTTTGTTTTTAAAAAATCATGATTGGGTTTGTGAGTGGTTGGCGGGTGCTCTGGTGTGGCTTACTCCTTCTTTCCTATCAAACATCTATCGTCCTGATCTCTCCTCCTTCTTTTTTCTGTATGTTACTCTCTTGTAACACCTCTAATCTTCGGCACCTATATGACCTTATTGTGCTGCAAGTGCCATAAAACTCTTACTAAAACTAAAACTGATTAGGTTTTTTTGCCTTTGGATTTTCAGATGGAGGGTATCTACGGCGTTCACGAGTGCCACATCTGGCAGCTGGCGGGAAACCGCATCGTTGCGTCTGCACACATTCGTTGCCGTGGTATCGAAGAGTACATGTCGCTAGCCACAAAGATCAAGGCCTTGTTTCACAAGGCAGGCATCCACTCCACCACCATACAGCCGGAGTTTGTCGATGTAAGTCATCTCAGACTGTGCAATGTGGGTGGTTGGCGGGTGCTCTGGTGTGGTTTGTGCAGTGTGGGCGGTTGGCGGGTGCTCTGGTGTGGTTTGTGCAGTGTGGGCGGTTGGCGGGTGCTCTGGTGTGGTTTGCTCCTTCTTTCCCATCAAACATCTATTGTCCTTGTCCTTATGTCTGTATGTTAATGGCACCATTCAAGATCTACCAAACATGATTTCCATCACTAAACAATGTTTTTATGAAATCAAAAAGTGGATGACAGTAAACAAATTGAAACTAAACGAAGAAAAGACAGACATCATTCTTATAAAAAATCCACGATTAAATAAAGATCTGGAAAGTGTCAACTTTGATTTATATGGGCATATGACATCTAGTAAAGAAGTTGTCAGGAATCTCGGTGTATATATTGACCACCACTTATCAATGGGCTCGTTTGTAGGATCTCTGTCCAAATCCCTTTATTTTCAGCTGAGAAGGATAGGCCTAGTTCGAAAGTACTTAAGCGAAGAGACCACAAAAACACTGGTAACATCTCTTATCCTATCTAGATTAGACTATTGTAACTCACTCCTAGCAGGTCTGAACAACAAATATTTGAATCGTTTACAAGTAATTCAAAACAATGCCGCTAGACTGATAACAAGATCTAAAAAACGAGACCATGTCACTCCATTATTAAAAGAACTGCATTGGCTCCCTGTAAAAGAACGAATAATATTTAAAATCTGCGTCATGTGTTTCAAATGTGTAAATAAAACTGCTCCTTTTTATCTGCAAGAACTTATCAGTATATATAAACCAGGGAGAAACCTAAGATCATCGAACGATAACACCCTACTTGTGACACCTGTAAAATCATACAAATCATATGGAGAGAGATCTTTCTCATATCTTGGTCCATTTATGTGGAACAGATTACCCATGAAACTAAGACAAATAAGAACACTTGATAGCTTCAAAAGACATCTTAAACATTTTCTGTTCCTACAGGCCTATCCTTCATAAGCTTTTAACGTTAGCTTTCATTATATTTGTTCTTTTCCTATGTCTGGATGAAAATAGTCTCTGTGTGTGTGTGTGTGTGTGTGTGTGTGTGTGTGTGTGTGTGTGTGTGTGTATGTGTGTGTGTGTGTGTGTGTGCATTAATGTATATTGCGTGAGAAGAAAGGAAGTAGTAAGAAAGGTTTTTGAAAAATGGGTATTCCAATGTAAAGCGCATTGAGCTACTTTTTTTGGAAATGCGCTCTATAAATGTTATATATTATTATTATTATTATCTCCCCCTTCTTCTTATTTATATTTGTTACTCTCTTGTAGCACCTTTAATTTTCTGGCGGCACTCATATGACCTTATTGAGCGGGGTTATGCGCGATACAAATGCTATTTATTATTATTATTACTACTACTACTGCTATTATTATTATTATTATTATTATTATTACTACTACTACTACTATTATTATTATTATTATTTTATTACCACTACTACTAATATTATTATTATTATTATCATTATTATTTCAGTACCTGGTGGGCTGCTCCTTGGACCCAAAAGACTGCGCCATTTTGTGCGACATCAAAGGGGACCCCACGTGTAAGGTGGACACGTGCTGCGGCGACCGGGACGGCTGGCTCAGCAAGCGCGCGCCGTCGGACGCACAGGAGAACGCGCTGGACCGGGACCAGGTCATCGGTGTTGGCGCCGACCTCAACAACTCTGCGCATAGTGGCGGTTGTGGTAGGGGTGCTGGCGTCGCAGCGGCCTACAGCAGTACGCGGAGTCTGGACGTGCAGTTCAGCCGCGATGGGGACGAGGTGGTGCTGGAGGTGTCGGACATCTTGAGTCCCATGGGTCACAGTGGTGGGGTGTCGGAGGGCAGCGCTTCCGGAAGCTCTCCGCCGAAGTACGGGGACGTCCACAAACTTAGTTCCTCGATGCCTGTCATTCTGGAGACGAACTGAGAGAGAGAGAAAAAAAGGAAGAGACGAGGAAGAAGTCTGTTACTTGCTTCTTGTAATGGGGATACAGCCGACACTGTCGAAGACGGTCATCCTTCCATTATTGAGGAGAAAAGTGACTGTCTTAGACGGGTGGACGTCTTTCATAGTCTCGTTACAGACGGGTGGACGTCTTACATAGTCTCGTTACAATGTAAAGAAAATAAGTCAGGGAGGAAGTGGGAGGTGGCTGTTTTGAACAGGTGATTGTCTTGTACAGGTGGCTGTTTGAACAGGTGATTGTCTTGTACAGGTGGCCATTTGTACAGGTGATTGTCTTGCACAGGTGGCCGTTTGGAGCAGGTTCAAGTATATCTGAGCAGTTTGGTGTCACGGCAATGTGACTCTGTGTCGGTGATGAGAGATGCATCGACCTTGTCAGCATTTTGTGAATTCCAACAAGGAATGACGATGTCATGAGAAGACTTTCCATTTCGTCAAATTGTGGGGGGGGGGGTCGTTTGCTTCCCCTTTTTTCGAAGGAATCGGCGATGATGTGTTTAAATTGATTGATACTATTTCAAATGATAACTGTTTTTAACCTGTTGGGAGTACCATATGGTGGTCTACGGTGCACCCATGAATATGTAAGTGGTCTATACTTTGAGGGTTTGTTTTGTTTTTGTTTCAGGGAGGGGGGAGTTGGGTGGGGTTGCTCATCAAAAAATACGTGAAAATGACCTGAAAGTCAGCAGTTGAAGATTTCCTGCCTCTGTAAATTTTGGAGAGCTCTCTGTGCTGAACATCTGTGGAAGACAAATTGTTAATGGGTGTTGGAATGCGCAGCGACTGTTTTAAGTCAAGCCTGCTACAATCACGGTAATCTTTAATACTACTACTTCTGACTTACCCTAGCCTGATACCTCCGTTCTGAACAATGCAGGATGCACGGCAGCACCTTACTGATCGCAGGCTTGCCTACGGTCTCGAACTGTCACCGGGGCCTGTCCTGGAGGATTCGGCAGTCAAGAATTTGAGAACCGTATCTGCACATACACAACGACAAAACGTGGTCCTACGTGGTGTAATTTTGTTCGTTGTTACGTGTAATCGGATGTTATAACTTGTAGCGTCCCTGGTTTGGTTTTGCAAAAGTTGGCAAGCCTGTGATTGCGTTGTTACTTCCGAACAAACAAAGTCCCCGTGTTGTGACCGCATCGCGCTCTCCGATTTCTCTCTGTGGGCGTCGTGGTGTGGTCTGCTCCTTCTACTTATTTCCCGTGGTTCTATAGTTAGTTCTAATCTCTTCCTGCCAAGGTGTGGTCAGTCATTGTTGAGTTGAGTCGCTGAAAACTTTGGCGCAACACTTTTCCAGAAGACATATTATATCGAGTTACTGCACTCTTGTCTGTTCGCTACTCTAGGATTACAAAGTTTTTATCTGCCCTGTACCTAGTTTTGAGAAATTTGACGTAAAAATTTTGAGTTTCACAACATGTCAAGCAACATGTGGAATGCAATCATTTGAATACCTTGATGATCACTCCGAATAATCGTACGGTTTTGATAGAGCAGATAGAACATTTGTGAGGCACCGTGGTGGAATCAGGCTCTCGTCAAAATAATCAAAGTGAAGAAACTGTCATTTGTGAATTTTTATCAAATTTTTAAAGTTTTTGGCTCAACACCTTCATGCCCATTAAAGAACTCATTTCTGTGAGGTTTTGACTGAAAAACGTTAACTGAAGGAACAAAAAATGCAAATTTTCAGTTACCACAGACTCTTAAACTAAGGGAATGACTAACCTTTGGGGGCCAATTTCAAACTTATTTTACTTCTGAAACAAGGTGACCCCCACATCCTTCTTTCACAAATATCTCAACTTGTATTCAAGATAGATGGATATTTTTTTCATCCAAATAAAGACAACTGAACAAGCTTTAAGATGATACCAATAACTGTACATGCCCAAAAATTGATGAGAGCCTGATTCCACCACGATGCCTCACATTTGGTTTCTGACCTCATGGTCTTACCAATACAAAACGGACAAAAACGTCCCACAGAACTTTTGAAATTAATTCCAAGGTAGCGTGTATTGTTATCAATTCAGCAAAGCGCTGACTGTTGCTTTTCGGTTTTTTTGCTATGTAGTAGAGTAATCCTTTCATGGATAACTCTGAAGTGTTCTTGTTTGAAATAGGGTTAACCCTTCTGGTTCCTCAGCTGTATTTGGGATGCCAGTAGAGTAATCCTTTCATGGGTAACTCTAACAAGTTCTTCTTGTTTGAAATAAGATTTTAATCCTTCTGGTTTCCCCAGCTGTATTTGGGATGCCGGGTCGAGGGCTTTGTGAGATAATCACCAGCCTTCATGAGGAGCAAATATAGCCGTCAAAAATCGTTGTTCCTTGGAGTGTTTTAGTTTGTTAACTTTATTCGAAGAGCTGAAATATTATTTTTCTTCTTCTGTGATGAAATGCACCCTGATAGGTTTAAGTTGTGATTTGAAGAACTTTTTTTGTGGTTCCTGCAGTTGCCTTAATAACATCTGTGACTTACACATTGGTTACACTTTGTGTGCAATTCTGTGTTGTTTTTTTTATGTTCGTGTGTTTGAATGTGCTGTCTGAAGTCAGCGAGGGTCGTTTGGTGGTTGGGTGGGTGGGTGTGGGGGGAGGGATTCAAGTACAGTCGAAATTGTCGAAGACGGCCTCCCATTGTCGAGGAGAAGAGTGGTTGTCTTAGACAGAAGGATGCCTTGGACAGTGTGTGTCATAATATTTTGGGAAACCGCAAGGGGGAGATGCGGGAAATAGTTGTTTGTTTGTTTGTACAGGTGGTTGTCTTGGACTGGTGGCCGTTACAGCAGGTTCGACTGTACATGATTTGAGATGTATGTATGCATCGTGAAAATGTGTGTTTGTTTCGAACATAATTTACAATCAGGGTTGCTCATTCTTATAGTCAAATTGTTTGTTATTGTTTATTAGTATTAAGTAATTATATTCATAACTCTTGTTGTAATGCTATGGCAGTGTGTGTGTGTGTGTGTGTTTGTGTGTGAGAGAGAGAGAGACATCTGGTCTATGTTGGCAGCAGCAATGTCAAAATGTGTCGTCTGTCATTCAATGTAGTGGCACACGCTACTGCAAAAGTTACCGGTACTTTCCCGTCTTGAACAGATCGACTGCTTTGTGTAAAACTTTGTCATACCCCCGTTTTGAAAAGTTGGGGGGGGGGGGGGGGGGGGGGGGAGAGTGTTTTTCGGTGCTCGCAATTGTGAAAGTTCATATGAGCACACGAGACACATGACACATTTTCAGTTGGTAGGTAATTATAACTTTTCCCTGGTGGCAACCGAAGTCTACTCTTATCAATTTTAGACGACCAAGGGATCTTTAAAGTGCGCTTCTTGCTCTCGGGACTTCCGAGATTTTTTGCCCTTATCTGAGAAGGCTAGGTTAGCAGTAGAAAGGCTGCAGAAAGAGTCAGGAGCCTAGAGGAGGGGGCAAAGGAGGTGAGGGGGCGGGGGCAGAATGTGGCAATGAAAGCAGACGACAGAACATTGCTTGAGAGCAGGAAAGAAAGGGAAAGTAGCCAGTTTAAGAGAAGAAAATTTTTGCGGTCACTACTGGATTTGGACCTGGTACCTTTGAATAAGAGGTGAACACCTTAACCTCTAGGCCACGAGAGCCTCCTTTGGAAAATTGATGCGTGACGGGGTCTCGCACTTAGCAGTCGAGATGTCACCTGAAATCTGTCGAAAGCCGACAAAACACCTTTGTAAAAATTCTCAGCAGTTTAGAGATAAAGAGGCGTTTTGTCAGCGTAACCATTTTAAAAAGGTTGTTTTTTTCTCTGAAATTTGAATTCTAATGTATTTAAAAACTAGTCACAGTTTCACTTTTGATTTTTTAAACCCAAATAGGGTAACTGATAAGGCTTTCAGTTCTGCAAATTATATATATGAAATTTGGCGGCAGAAATGAACAAAAGGCGTTTTGTCAGCTTACGGCAGTGACGTCCCAGTGGCCCTCAGGGGTGTTCGGCAGCTGTTTGGTTCTCGTGGACAAATCTCATGATGATTATTTCCCTTTATGTTGTGAGCCCTTTGTTGTGAGCCTAGTGTTAGTCCCACTGTTGTTTCCCCTTATATTTTTTCCCTCAAGAGAAGTCCCATGGATCGTCGTTCTTGTGTTGTGAGTGCGTAGATTTTGTAAATAGTTTTCTCTTTCGTTGCTTTGGGTGGATTAGTCCCATGCCTGCTTATGTTTTTGAGTGGATCAGTTGTCCCATTATTTGATTTTTTGCCGCCGTCTTTTTATTTTTTCAATGAGCTCTTACAGAAACTGTGAACGTAGTTAGTATTTTGCATTGTGTGATTTTAGGATGCCGGTTGTTAGATTACCTCTGTCACCTAACCTACATGATTGCCTGATTACTTTGACAAGTAGAGCATTAGCTGACGATTGTTCGGCCAACCGCGACTTTTTTTTTTGGGATGGTTGAAAGCCACAACTTGGACTGTCTTTTTCCTCAATGTCTACCGCTGAGGCGAAGTTTTGTCATGCATACTACTTTAAGAGGCTATTCTGCTCTCCTGCCACATGAGCCAAGCTGTGCTCCCAGCTGCATTACGGCTTCCGCGGAAACATACACACCTGAGCAAATGATATGAGGTTACGATCCCAGCTGCATTACGCGCATTTCTGCAAGTTTTGAGGGTTGGCATGACTTACCTGCCTCACTGTTCCTAGCTTCTTGGCATGATGACTTTTCAGAAAGGTCACATTTGACACATTTGAAAGGTCACATTTTGGTGGGTACTGAAACCATTGAGTTGAAATTGAACAATTGTAAAGCATTTATTGTTTTAAAAAAGAAATATATATATATATGCAGTCGAAATTGACCAAGACGACCACCCATTGTAGAGGAGAAAAAAATTGTCTACATCAAGTGCCCATTGGAGCGATAGGTTCGGTTCGGTTCGGTTCGGTAGGCCGGGCTAGCCAGATTGAGGGCGCAAAGCAACCGTTGTGGCACAAACCGTTCTCCCGTCTCGCGGCCTAAAAAACAATCGCGTTTGTTTTCCGGCCGCGAGTTGGGCGCTCGGTTTGTATTGAGGACAGATCCGCCAGTGGGGGGCTGGGTAGTAGACAGTGTGTTATTATTTTCTTTTTTTGGGGGGGGGGGAAGCTGCATGGGGTGGAAGTAGGGAGTG